TGACACGTGGTCGTAGGGAGGGGGTCTCTCCCTCCAAGCAATAGCCGCCTCCCCGTCCTCCCCGCCAGAGTGGATTAACGGTAATTACATTGAACCTTATGGGGAAATTTGCTTCGGGTTGCGACCAATTCAGGTTGCGGCCAGAGTCACGGACTCTGGTTGCGGCCAGAGTCACCAAGGTTCCACTGTACATCATCTAATTAACTGGGAGCACTTCAGCAATGAAAAAGAAAATAAACCATAGGGTTCACTATTTTCTAATTTTAATTTAGTTATCCAGGAAGATCTGAAGCTTACAAAATCAGGAATAGTGTGAAATCAAGCATACTATAAACTTTGCTGGGAAAGAGAACTCATGTAACATGGCAAATATTACAATGAATGTGTGCAAAATGTAACCTATATTGCAATTTAATACATTTATTACAAAGAGCATCATGACTTCGCTAAATCAATGCTTATTAAAATAATTTGTTAATTCAGGCAGCACTTGAAAGTGTTTGTTTGCACAGTCTCTCCATCAGAAAATATACTTTGAGATCATATAATCCCCGACAAAGTACTGTTGCATTTGATTTTATTTCTCACAGTAAATTTTACTTGATTATTTACTTGCTTTTCCTAAATATCCATCCTATAACAGGTTCTGTTTACCTACTGCAAAATAGGAATTTTCAAAGAAACTTATAAAATGTATTGCGAACTGACAGGCAGGCACTTTATTTTGAACGTATCCATCAGTCTTTGATCTTTCCTGGTTTGTCCACCTTACCATACCATTGCACTTTCCATGCAATTGTGCGCTCAAATGGCTTGTAGGTACTTCATTAGATTTGAATATTCATCATATGGTTCATTAAGCTCAATATCCATCATGATCACTAGAGAAGATTATTTGCTGGGAAGGCCTAAAAAGAGGTTACATTCTGATCAAACATGAATACTCTCTGCTGCAGCTGACCCTTGGTTTCTATATAGGTAGTCCTTGATTTATAACCATTCGTTTAGTGACCAAAGTTATGATAGTGCTGAAAAAAGTAACTTATGACTGGTCCTCACACTTATGACCATTGCAGCATCCCCACGTGATCAAAATTTGGGCACTTGGCAACTGGCGTGTATTTACAATGGTTGCAGCATTCCGGGGTCACATGATTGCCATTTGTGACCTTCCCAGCCAACTTCGAACAAGCAAAGTCAATGGGGAACCAAGTGATTCGCTTAACGACTGCAGTAAAAAAGACTGTAAAATTGGGTACAGTCACAAATCTCACCTAGAATGGTTTTGCGTCTTGGCTGCCTTTCCTGCTGAATAAGTTCTATGGATATTCTTGAGCTATGACCTTATAAAACAGCTTCTACTATGCAAATTTCTTTAGAATAACTAGCCATGATGCAGCCTGACTTGCTTTAATGGCACAGCAGACAATGCATACAGGAGCTATTCTACCAATGATGTACATCTTGCTCATGCAGTTTGATATTTCCAGAAAGGGTTCGTTTCCACTATTTCTGGAAATCTACAACTTTCAGTTCAGACTCATAACATTCCAGAGAACTGCAACATGTTATTGCTTTGCAACAAAAACTAAAAAGAAGCCTGTGGCACCTTGCTTTCACAAATGTATTACTGTACGATGTAAACCTATGCATACTACAATCCATTTCTTTAGATGCAGTCTTTCACTGTTCTTCAGGGAAAAGGGGCTATAACCAACAACTAATTTTAAAATAGGTCAACGTACAAGATTTCACATTCTAGTCCAGAAAGCAGTGTGAAGTGTCTGCTTCCCATCAGATGCATACATATAATAAATACTTTCCATATTCCTGTACAGTAATGAATTAGAATAAATTCAATAATTTTTGATAAAATAGACTTCAGTGTTGATCTAAAGAGAATTTTATTTGATGATCTCTAAGAACTATATGTAAATCAATAGCAATTTTGCTATTATTTATTTAAAAGCTGCCACATACATAATGTCAAATTAGACATTCAGAAAATAGTTGATCCTATATAATGAAATGCAGTCATTTCTTATTGGATTTCAGAGCAACAGTTAGTGATAACTTTAATATTTGTCTCATATTTTGAAAGTTTCAAAAAAGCTTTATCTGTTGCCTTTAGTTTAAACCTGATACTAGAAGTGGATAGTTGAATAATTTAGGAATAACCTATGTCTGTACTGTATTAAACTTAAAATGCTCACTTTAATAAGATAGAAAATAAAAAATATCATTTCACTAAATAGGAATTCACTAAAGAGAAAAAACAACTGACTAATTCATCTAGAAAGGGGTTCTTCTAGACTCTTCAACACAACAACCAAGGAAGTTTGTATTTAAAGAGGATGCTTCCTCAATTAATGTCTAATAGCATATAATTCTGCCATATTCACTGAATTTTACAGATAACCTGTTTTCATTGCTCTTTCATAGTAACAAAACATGTATGCTGTGGACCATGTTCATCTTTACAAGGTATAGTGTTCAACACCCAGGGTACTGTTCAGTGTAGGGTACTACATTTTCTTACATTAGCTTTTTTGTTTTAAAAAAACACATGTACAAATACCTTTGATCCATACTCTTTTAAAAAAGCAGTTAAATAGCATCTGCAGTAACTTGAGTAGGAAGATCAAAGCATTCTGCAGTTTCAACTGATTCAACCATTATTTGCTTTATTTTCACTTCCTCCTATAATCTCATAGATTCAAAGTATTCTGTAAGAAAAGAAAATGGAATTAGCTGTTTCACAAACTACTATTAAAAGAAATGAAGAGAGATATTTTAGCAGGTGTCAGTTTTAAGGCATGTCAAATCCCAAAAGGGATAAATAGTTAATACTTTGGAAGTATTTTATCAAAAAATTAAACAAATGAAAAAGAAACCCTACAGGTAGTCTTTGCTTAACGACCATTCATTCAACAACCATTCAAATTTATGATGGTGCTGAACGAAGGGACTTAAGACCCATGCCCGAAGTTACAGCCATTGCAGTGCCCCCACAGTCACTCAATCATGATCTGGGCCCTTGGCAATCAGTTTGCACTTACGACCAGTTGCCAAGCTCCCCATGATCATGTGATCACCATTTGCAATCTTCCCTGCTGGCTTCCCCAGAAAGTCAACAGGGAAGCTGGCAGAGAAGGTTGCAAGCTGTTGCTGCCTGCTGAGAGGACTCCCTCTCATCTCTGGGGGCTGGCTGAAAAAGCCCTGTGCCAAAATCCAAGCAGGATTTTGCTGATGTTTGTTGATGTTTTTATACACTTTTTTACTGTTTTTTAAATCTTTATTTGTTAGCTGTCTAGAGTCACTTATATAGTTAGATGAGTGGCGTATAAATTTGATTTATAAATATTTATTTACAAATAAATAAATAAATACATTTTCAGCTCCAGAATGGAAAGGCTTCAGAAGCCTCTCAACTCTGGAGCTGAAAATTCAAGCAGTTCTGAGGCCCTCGCGCATCCGACCTGCACCGCACCCCCATGCATCCTCCCCACTCCTCCCATGCATCCCCTTGCTCCCTCCCCCACCCGGCAGCGCCTGGGGCTTGCAACTTCCTGCCGGCTTCCCCAATGTCTTCATTGTAGAAAGTCAGCAGGAACTTGCCTCACCTAACGACCCACAATTCTAGCTTAACAACTGCAGCTGGGAGTGCCAGGATTGTGGTCAATAAGCAAAGCAGTCATTTGATGTTTCACTTAATGGCCGCATTGCTTAGCGACCTAAATTCCAGTCCCAATTGTGGTTGTTAAGCGAGAACTACCTGCGTTCTAAAAATATATATAAACAATACATAGTAAAATGAATACAGACATCACATATTGCTGTTAAATGTTGCAAATGAGATGCAAAAGAAAGAATACTTAACAGTTCTGACATATTTATGTTCTTAGTTCATATACCACAAACATAGATCTCAATTACATATAATTTAAAATTACCAGATCAATATTAGCATACATCTTAAGAAGAAACATAAAAAAGTTTTCTCCAACTGTCTATAAATAACTGTACCCCTTCTATTCTATTTCAAAATTACCCTAATTTATCACACTTTAGTCTTAGAAAAGCATCTGGTAGTATGATATTCATGGAAGTTAAAGCTCTATGCACCAAAATTCAAAAAACAAAAATTCCAAAGTATCTGGAATAGTATCTTTCTATAGACCATCTTATCACTAAGTTATCACTAGCCCCCCTTCTTCATCCATAATTACAACTTTGGAAGAACCTATATCTTCAGGCCATGGACACTCATATGGCACCAAAGCATGTCAAATAAATAAATAAGCAAACTTATTTTAAACCATTTTTAGAGCTAGGCTCTCCTAAATAGATAGAAAATAGTAAATTAATAGTAACAGTTAATAGTAATAGGACAGAAAATAATAAATAATAAAAAACAAGATCCAAATATGTATGAAACAAATGTCCAATTTCTTCATGAAACTTTGCTGCCAACTTAGGGAATTAAAGGCAGACTTGAAGAGTTACATTTAAACGTGAACTTGAAAGGGCAAGGCAGATGTCACTGAGGAAACCATAATTTAAACCATTGTCTCAAAAGGTTTGAACCATGATTGGAAGTGTTTAATTGCCATTTGCAAAAGACAAAACAATATAAAAGGGGAAGATAGAACATGTAAGCCATAGGCTTATGAACAATGTTTGACATTACATCTGAATATTCTGCTGAATATAATCCAGGAGCATTCAAATCTGTAGGAGTTGTACTGTTGGGTTTAATAGTATATGAAAGTCATCCCAATTACTGGAAGCAGTTCTTCTTTATATTATTACAATCATGATTGAATCAGCATTAAAATTACTAATGAACATCTAATGTGGCAGATAAAACTGATACAGCTACAAGTTTTACTACTCTTTAAAGCCTGTGTCCTTCCATGGATTTTATTTTTGTAAACAGAGTCAGTTTATAAAAAATGATGGCTGAGTCAGATATTAGTCATCAGAGATTATGGCTTCAGTTGTAATAAACAGCACAGTATACCCAAAAGGGCTTCAGGAACAATTCTTTTTGTACTTCTCAAGGCCAGTGTATGGTTTTGATGTACTTTTATTACTAAATTGTTTCACATATTCCAATATTAATTCCCAACCCACCACAGACATTTCTGTTACAACCTATAGAGCAGAAATGGGCAACATCTGCCTACACACAGAAAACAGACAAAATATGCCTTATATAGAATATTCTGATGTAATTGGAGTCTGCTTCACAAATATAGTAGTTGAAACCTGGACACTGAAATGCTAAATATCACTGCTTCTTAGGGCAACATTCCAGGGAAGATTGTTTCTTGTGATTTCCATGTCAGAAACTATATGTGCAGAATACAGATGTACAAAACTCACTTTCAGAAGAGGAAAGCACATCTCAAGCCAGTTCTCTTTCAGATGTTTTCAAACTGCCGCTGAATGCCATAGTCCAAGAAAAGATTAGGCATGGTCTGGAACGGCAATGTAAACTTCCAGAGCTGTTTGGAAAGTTCTATTCCAAAATCAGTCAGGTTTGCACATTTCTAGTACAAAATAAGGTCTGAAGACCAGAGCTAACCCTAGGAACTAGAGCCAATAAAGACATTAGGAGATATAAATTAACAACATCTAGAGGGTTTTACGTTCCCCAGAATTGTATAAATTAGGACCAAAGTGTATGCAACATTTGTGAGACAGCTCTCCTTGTACAGCTCATGGGGGATATGATGAACACTCATGGGGGATATGATGGGAGAAGGCAAGTTGGATCAGGACTGTGATACAGAAGAAGAGCAGCTTTAACCTTTGACACTGCAGCAGCCCTAATCAGAATCCACAACCTGAATCTGCTATTCACAGTAACAGAAAAGTTGCCATTGGTATTTATGGGAACTTTCCTCACTTTCCCCATAATATCCATTGGGGATCAATAATATCCATTGGGGATCAATTCTGATGTTAACAATCAGGACAATGAGGGAAGATGAATGGTTAAAGAACTCCTCCCTTCATGATCCTAAGGTAACCCTCACCAATCCCTCATATATATTGGTCTTTTGTTAAAAATAATAATCTGCCTGATCTGGAATTTAGTCATCACTGCATTAGTTTTACTTCATAAGTAACAGTAAACTGAGTATTTTGAGAATACATTGCTAAATTTAGCAGTGAGTGCAGAATGACCTAAAGGTTCACTTTAGTTCACAAATGCTGTTGTTTTTCAGCAATGCTGTTTAAGTTGCTGGAAAACAAAATACAAAATACAAATCCTGCAAAAAAAAAAAAAATCAAAACAGGGACTAATGGAACAAGGGACTTAGACTTGTAGTGCCTGGATTTCAAATAGAAATCCTATCAACTATTTACCTAATTCCTTCTTGTGAAAACACTAATATAGTTTAAAAGACTTATCCACACCTTATGCATAATAAAACTGCTTTGCTTATTTTAGTGAAGTTTGTTCCATAGTCTCTCATAAAATCAAATTTTTATTCTAACTAAATTCACCCAAGTCCTGATCTGCAAAGTCTCCATGTACAACATTGGAAAATATGATCCTGTGTCCTTGTTACTCACACAACTGTGGTAATCAGGTTGAACAGCACTGATTCAAAAGTCTAAAGTCCAAAACAGCAATTGGATTATAATTCAAAATCCCAACAAATGATTTTCTAAACTGATCACACCAACTGTGCATTAGAAAATGCAACTTGCATTATGTATGTAGCCATGAGTGTTGTGGGATTTTAACCAACACAATACCATTTAAAGCACAACCAATCAACCCCAGTAAGCATTCCATCTGCAAAAATATTTTGTACAAGATCATAGCGTTGAAATTTATTTTACTATCTCATACTTCTACCATAGTTACGTATTGTGTTTAATCTAACCATAATCTAAAAACAACATTTCAAAGTAATCTAGTTTTGACAGTTAGGACTAACCATGCACACTTATGTTGGCTAGCTTAATTGTAAATTGAAGATGCTGGTAAGTTACTCTGGAACAGGCAACTATACCATAAAAAACATCTGATTATAAGTCGTAAATAAAAAGTCATGAATCAGTCTCAGAAATGATCAAGGTTAAAGAAAAAGCAATGCACTTCTACTTGAAAATTACCACAATGATATATATAAGGGTTGAATGAAAGGTTATATTCCAATGTTGTAAGTTGGCAATTGGTGGCAATACTGATAGGCTAGAAGCTCTGGCGTATGTTTTAGCATCTGTTCTTTCACTTCAGTTGGTGTGAAGTTGCTGTAAGAAAAGCTTGTGTTATTAATATTCACAAAATGGAAGCTTGCAGTGAATACTCATCAGTGTGCTTTAAGCAACACGCTGCCACCATGATTGAATTTTTGACTGAATGCAGGTATGGTAATTACTGTGTTGATAAGAGTACTCAGCATCTCTGAACCAAAAAAATGTAAAGATCATGAACTAGGAAGAGGTGATTTATAGGATTGAGAACAAAGTAGATGACTTATGATAGCAACTGAGGATTGCTATTATGCATTATTGGTAGAAGCACATAGTAAATGGTGGTGATTATGTGGAGAGTAATTATGGGTAACAAAAAAGCTCATGTCAAGGATTATTCTTCTGTTTCATTTATTAAAATATCAATTATTTAAACTACACTTATGGAGGTGAAGGCATTACCTTTCATTCAATCTTTGTATATAGGCCACATGCAAATAAATTACTG